GCGTCGGCTTCCTCTGGGTGTGTGCTTGTGCGAAAACCTAGGTGCATGTGTGCATTTAGGCCCTGGGAGCGCCCTCTAGGTATGTACATGCGTGCCTAGTGAGAGTGTGAATGACTTTTTGGTGTGTAAAGTGCCCAGGAGCCCTGGGATCCTCTTTCAGGTTATTTGCGTACCTCTGGATCCTCTGTGTATGTGCCATGTGAGCACCTTGTAGGTATGTGCATTTGCTGGCCCTAGGTGTATGTGCCTGTGTGAGCACCTTTTACATGTTTGCACCCATGCTGGCCGAGAGCCCCTCCAGGTGTGTGCATGCATCTGTAGTCTCTGTCGGTGTGTGTGCTTGAACATCTCCCTGTCTACCTGTACTTTATGCCAAGATCTATCTGTAGCTGAGGCCTTGCAGGAGGGGCTAACCCATATGTGAACCCTCTGGGTGTCACGTATGTAGCAGTACTTACCTTCTGGAGAGGGGTGGGTACATGAATGCTGTTGTGTCTGAGAGTCAGTCCAGTCATGGATGCCTTGCCCTCCATAAACACATTCTTTCAGTTACTTATCCTCATATTCAGCCCTCAGCTTCTAGGATCCTTCCTTTTTCTTCCTATAGAGGCCGGAGAGTTGACACAGTATATTCAGGGTGGCACCATCAGTTAAGGACTGTCAGAATTCATTCATTAGCTGTCTTATCTTCCTGCCTTTGCCTCCCACCCCCTCCGTTTCTGAAGGGAAGCAGGAAGAGATTGTAAAACCTATTATCTTGGGGAGAAAATTTGTCTCTAGAATGATTCTCACAGGTGAAAGAAATAGGTAAACTCCATCACTCAGTGGAAGAAGTGATTATGATGGCAAAATGGGTGGAGACAGCTAGGGAGGCAGGGGTAAGGATATTCCTGGCCAAGTGACTTGCCAGGAGAAAGGACCTTGCCTGAGAAACCCAGTACAATTTAGCACCCATTGTTTGGCACTTCTGGCATGCTCAGCAATGCAGTTAGCCTTGGAAATACTTAGTAGAATACTGTTTCTGCCCTTAGGAATTTGGAGGCTCATTAGCACGGGGCACTGGGGGACAGAATTGTGGAGACAAAGCTAGATGAGGTGGAAGCCAGGGACAGAACTGACTCGGGGGGAAATTTCCTATTTAGCCATACTGTGGATTCAGGGCTCATTGTAGATGTTGTGGGATGAGGCCCGGGATGCAATACTAATGAAATAAAAACTTCTGGGGTAGTTTCTCAAGTAAGGTGTGCAAGGAGGAAAAACTAGTTTGGCTTAGTAAGAGGGTGCTCAGGGCCTTAGAATTAACGTAATGCTGTAGATTTGTGTTATGAGGAACTGCAGTGGTAAAGCTGTAATTCCAAGTCACATTACTTGTGGCATGGCTGGGTCTAGACACTGGATTTCTCTTTTTCCTTCATGTTCCCAAGACATCTGAATCAAGATTGCTCCACACTAGATTCTATGCTCCAAGACGGAGGGGCCACATATGCCCTGTTGACTGCTCACAGCAAGTGACCCAGACCAAGATCCAAGTGACTGCAAAGGCTGGGCAGAAGAGGAACTTGAGTGATAATTGAATAAATTAATGAATTGCTCCATGCCCAGCTAAAGCTTAAGGGGAATGGACAAAACCAAGTGTTATGACTTCCCCCAGGATAGATGGATAAAGGATAGCGAACAATTGGAACAAAAGGCAGCCCCGACTCCTTGGGTTAAAGCTTCTAGACTAGAATGCTGAAGTCTCATGTCAGCTCGTTTTAATGTCTTGGATTTGGGACCTGCTTACCCCTGGATTCCTGCAGAATCTGATCATGTCAAATGATCAAGCCTTCTGAACTTCGAGTCACCCACAAAGCCATAGAACAGCCTCCCTTCACAGATGCACCCCCCACTCCCCTCCCACCTAAGGCTCACTTTTCTCCAACACCTGCCTTCTCCTGACTTTCCCTGAGGACTGAGTATCTGGGAATGAGACTTGTTCAATGAGGACTGTGGGACCAGGACCTCGGGGAGGGTCCCCTCTAAGGGTGATGACAGGTAGGACAGACAGGCAGAAAACATAATTTGAAGTCTTTTTGTTTTTTTATATACAGAATACAGGAAAGTTTCTGTAAAGTCTAAAACATTACAATTACTATGTACATTGGTACTAGTTGTGGGGGTGGGAGAGGAGGAGGGGAGCCAGGGGTGGGAGGAAGAGGAGAGAAGTGGCAGGAGAACAAAAAAAGGAGACAAAACAGGTTTACGACAAAAACATTTTTGCTACAATAGACAATTTGAAGAAAACGCTCTACCACATGTAGTACTGTACACAGTTTTTAAAAACATTGAAAAAATGTCATCACTAGATGTATTTACACAAAATCCAAATACACTTTTCCTTATTTGAAATAAAATAGATGGACAGCCAGAAAAAGAATTCATTTCTCATTTGTCCATAATACACAGTAGCTACCTGTAGTGCAACCGCTGCAGAAAGGGAAAATAACCTGGAGGGTGGGAACCATGGAAGGAGGGTGGGTAGCGATCTTTATATTAAATAAAACAATGATATTGTATAGATTTTGCTGTATGAAAACTGTATTTTTTTCTTTTAATATAAAACTATTGTCACTGCCACAAAATAGAACAAGTTTCTGATTATTTTACAACGGCGGGCGAGGGGGAGGGAGCAGGAGGGTGGGGAACGGTTTTGTGTCGGAGGAAGTGTCCAGACCGTTGGCCTTCCCCTCCCTGCCCACGCTGTTCCTCAGCTCGGTCTGCCGCCTTCCCATGAAATGTTGAGTACAAATATATGTGCAAATGCCCCCTAGAACTTGAGAAAAGAAAAAGGATTTTTAAAAAACAGTCAAAAGGTTTTCTTCATTTCATGCAAAGATTGTAGTTGAAGGGTTTCTGGTGGAGTATAGAAAAACCCCCGGGCTTGGTTTGTGTACATTTTTGCATTGCAGGAGTCTTGGGTTGGGTGGACAGGTGGGTGACGGGGTAGCCGCCAGTCCTAGGGAACAGAGTTGGAGCGCAGCACAGGGCCCTGGTGGGGCTTGAGAGAGAGCTTCTCGGCCAAGACCCCATCCTGCAGTAGGCCGGCCTCGCCTTTGGGCTGTTTGGTCGCAAACTCAGTGATGCTGAAGACAAACTGCAGGCACCCCAGCTTGATGTAGCTGCCGTGGTGCAGTAAGGCCGTGCCTTCCCAGCCGGCCCCACTGCCCCCAATCAAGCTCGAGCTGCTGGCTTTGCAGTTGCAGGGTCTCCGCTGCGGCCCCTGGGCCTGGGAGCTCATCATGGCTGCCTCCTCACTTGGCTCTTCATCCTGTTTCTGGTGCCGGCGGCGCCCTGGCGAAAAGAAGGGGAGGTCACAGGAGACGAACGGTGAGCAGCCAACCCATCTAGGCTGTCTGCCAGGGTGGGGCCCCTGTACCTCCCCACTCTAAATGCTGCATGTCTTGAGGTGAGGGACACTCAGAAAGGACTGGTAGAGTCTGAAGTCCCCAGGTAGGTGTGTACACACATGGGGGTGCAAAGCACATGCTTCTTCATGGCCCTTCCAGGGCCCACGAGCAAGGAGCACCTGGCCAATGGGTCTGGGAAAGCAAGAGACAGCAGGTGATTGGCAGCAAGCCAGAGCCACCCTGACTGGGGCCTTAGAGAATGTGTCCAAAAATTGCAGGCTCTGCAGCCACAGGCCTCTGCCCCAACTTACTGATGACACTCTGCACTTTGGCAACAATACTGCTTGGGGGGGTTGGCGGGGTCTTCTCAGAGAAGTCACATGAATACAGCACATTGTCCACCGTTGTCCCGTGCTCACTGTAGTTTAACAGCTCATAATGTTTGGTATTCTGAGGAGGAGGAGGGAAGATAAGATGTGTGGTCTGCTGCGTGGGGCCTGGGGCTAAGGGGAGAGAGGACATATGGAGAAGGCTGTGCTGCTCTACTTAGGGAGCCCTGTCTTCCCCATCACGCCTCCCTTCCTGTCCCTTTAGAATGAATAGGGCTCAAGGCTCACCTCCTCAGGGAAGCTTTCCTTTCTAGTGTCCCCCGCCCCCGGCTCTCCCCGTTTCTATACTCTGCCCCCTCAGCACTGGCTCCTGTGAAATAATATTCACGGGCACATGATGATGAGGATGAAATACACAGGGACTCCCCCAGAGAGCTTGGGTCCTTCTCTGCCCCTCCCCTGCTTCAGGGTGGGCGCCCCCTGCTGGCCTGCTGACCAACCTCAGGAGAAATGGGAGGGAGCCCTGCTCCTGGGGAGCAGGCAGCCATGGCAGGATGCCTTTCCACACCCAGACTCTTCTCCTCCAGGAATGACAGGGAGGGAAGAAAAGGAGAGGACCTCCAACCCCCTTCTCCTCACCCCAGGGCAGTGAACCAAAGCCCAGTGTCTGGGAGAGGCCTCTGGTGGGAAGAGCTCTCTCCCACCCCGTCCCAATCCCTCACCTCATCGTAGAATATGCAGGCGTGTTTCCCGGACACGTAGTTACAGTGACCATAGTTTGTAAGGCACACGTCCATGTCAGCTCCTGCAAGGTGGCAGGAGGAGAGGAAAAGGAAGGCAGAGAATAGACTGTAAAGTGTATGTTTGGGGGAGGTAAGGCAGGGAGAGAGTTAGCTTCTGGGTGGGCACTCAAGGGGCAGGTAGCTCAGGGCCCTCTCCCTGTAATTTCTGAACAAAACTGATGTCTTTCCAACCCCCTGCTAAAAACAGCTGTCCCTACCAGCTGATCTGCTTTAGAACATCTGCTGCCCAGAGGGGAGCAGTGAGCTACTGAAGAGGATTGGTATTTCTATGAGAGCACAACATTGGGGGCAGAGCCCACAAGTCATATCATCTGAAAAAAGAGACATTTCTAGACCAAAGGCTCATCTGTCTGTCTGTACAAGATACAGGGTGAACTACGTAAAGGTTAGGTATGTGTGGGTCCCATCACCTTTTCAAAGACCTCCAGAGACAAAGCATTTCCCCCTCTCCTCAGGTACTTCCTGCAGCGTTTAAAATGCCTCACCAAGCACCAGTCAGAGCTGACTTTCAGCTTTCCTGATGCCACACTGGGAACAAAGCAAAAGGGCCTGAAGCAGGGAAGACAAGCAGTTGGTAGTCTCCCTTCTTAGTCCCTCTTGTCCAGACATGGAGAGGCTTCCCTCCTCCTTTCTAGCCTCTGTGGGTAAGGGTGTCAATCTTTAGGGCCAAATAGATTCAGCACCAATCCGAGCTGACTCACCTGTCCCGATGTAGAGGGTTCGATAGCACATGTTCACAGCTCCTCCCAACCCTAAGAGAGG